GTCCTTGGTGCTCTCTGAGCTTGGTAGTTTTCTTGCAGACGTTTCATTACCCAACTAGGGAACATCATCAGTGCTAGAAGGGAGTGAGGTTTGTGAAGGAGAAGGGGGGAGGAGGAGAAGGAGGAGGAGGAGTAGAAAGAGGAGGAGGAGGAGGAGGAGGAGGAGGAGGAGGAGGAGGAGGAGGAGAGGTCCAATGGTTTCTGAAATCCCACCAGAAAAACAGCAGGGACTTGAGACTTGTCCAGGCAGCTGCCAGGATTCAACACAGACTCAAAGACAAAATAAAATAAAATAAAATAAAGGCACACAGCACAGATTCCAAAATCTTCAGTCGCCTCTGATGAGTCTCCCTTTTTCTCTCCCCCCCCCAAGGGACAGCCTTTATAAATCGGACACCCGCTTGATCAGCCGCCAGTCGCTCTGCACTGGCCAGAAGGAAGGGGCGCTGATGACCACCTGCCACCGTCTGAATTTGAGGAAACCTCTGCAGTGGTCGAACAAGTGAGGGCAGCTGCCTCCGGCTGGGAAAACCCCCAATTATTTTAGTCGTTAAAGTTGGTGACCTCTCTCTGGCAGTCGTGAACCGGCTGTTTCCGGGGAAAATGGCCTGGCCGGAGGACTGGAAACCTGGAGGATCTGTAAGCCGCGAGCCTTGAAGAACCAGCTTGGCAGAAAGGAAAGGCAGGAATGACGGGAAAAAAAGCTCCGAGTCGTAGCAGGAGGCACCTAGCATTTAAGCCGGGTGCAAGTCCCAGCTTCCCTTCCATCTCTCCCTTCCCGGCTGCGGTAAGATTAATAAAGGGTAGATCAAGTTGGCTAAATGGCTCCTTTGTGTCTGCAAATTCTTGACTTAGTTGTAAGGCTTAGTTAGCTTGCTACTATGGGATTGTGCTACCTCAAGACCTATGTGAGAGGGACCTCGGAGTCCTAGTGGACAATCACTTAGATAGGAGCCAGCCGTGTGCTGCAGCTGCCAAAAAAGCCAACACAGTGCTAGGCTGCATTAACAGAGGGACAGAATCAAGATCAAGTTAAGTGTTAATACCACTTTACAAGGCCTTGGTAAGGTCATACTTGGAATACTGCATCCAGTTTTGGTCACCACGATGTAAAAAAGATGCTGAGACTCGAGAAAGAGTGCAGAGAAGAGCAACAAAGATGATTAGGGGACTGGAGGCTAAAACTCACAAGGAACGGTTGCTGGAATTGGGTATGTCTAGTTTAATGAAGAGAAGGACGAGGAGGGACATACTAGCAGTCTTCCAGTATCTCAGGGGCTGCCCCAAAGAAGAGGGAGTCAAGCTATTCTCCAAAGCGCCTGAAGGCAGGACAAGAAGCAACGGATGGAAACTCATCAAGGAGAGAAGCAACCTAGAACTAAGGAGAAACTTCCTGACAATTAGAACAATTAACCAGTGGAACAACCTGCCTCCAGAAGCCGTGAATGCTCCAACACTGGAAGTTTTTAAGAAGAGACTGGACAGCCATTTGTCTGGAATGGTATAGGGCTTCCTGCCTGAGCAGGGGATTGGACTAGATGACCTCCAAGGTCCCTTCCAACTTTATTATTATTATTTATTATTATTAATTATTATTATTAATTATTATTATTATTATTACTACATGTAGTCCTCGATTTACAGTAATTCATTTAGTGACCGAGATTACAACGGCGCTGAAAAAAAGTGACACATGACCGTTTTTCACACTTACGACCTTTGCAGCACCTCCCCCCTTGGTCACGTGATCAAAATCCAGAACGTTTGGCAACTGACTCACACTTAGGACGGTCGCAGTGTCCCGGGGTCACGGGATCCCCTTTTGCGACCTTCTGACAAGCAAAGTCAACGGAGGGAAGCCGGATTCACTTAACAACCGTGTCGCTAATTTAACAAGTGCAGTGATTCACTTAACACCTGTGGAAAGAAAGGTCGTAAAATGGGCCAAAACACACTTCACAACAGTCTTGCTTAGCCACAGAATATTTGGACCCGATTGTGGTCATACGTTGAGGACTACCTGTACTACATCAAGACCTAGTCTCCAAAGCAACTGAGGGCAGGACAAGAAGCAACGAGCGGAAGATCATTAAAAGAGAGTTACTTGAGTTGCTGTTTTTAAGTAACACAGCTACTCAAAAACAGTTAACTGTGAAAGGGGATCTCGGAGTCCCCGTGGACGATCCCTTAAACGTGAGCCAGCCGTGTGTGGCAGCAGCCAAAAAGGCTAATACAATCCTGGGTTGTATAAACAGAGGCACACAATCAAGATCATGCGAAGTATTAGTACCGCTTTATAAAGCCTTAGTAAGGCCACACCTGGAATCCTGCAGCCAATTTTGGACACCACATTCCAAAAAAGAGGTTGAGACTTTGGAAAAAGTGCAAAGAAGAGCAACTAAGATGATCAAGGGCCTGGAGACTAAGAACGGCTGAGGGACTTGGGAATGGTCAGACTAAAGAAAAGAAGAAATAGGGGGGACATAATAGAAGCATTCCAGTATCTGAGGAGCTGTCACAAGGCAGAGGGGATCAGGTTGTTCACCAAAGCACCAGAGGGAAGGACAAGAAGCAACGGATGGAAACTAACCAAGGAGAGAAGCAACTTAGAACTAAGGAGAAACTTCCTGACAGTGAGAACAATTAACCAGTGGAACAACCTGCCTCCAGAAGTGGTGAATGCTCCATCACTGGAAGTTTTTAAGAGACTGGATAGCCATTTGATCTGAAATGGTCTAGGTAGGAGCTCTTGCTTAAGCAGGGGATTGGACTAAGCAGGGGGTTGGGGTTCAAGACCTCCAAGGTCCCTTCCAATTGTGTTATTCTGTTAATTAACCAGTGGAACAACTTGCCTCCAGAAATTGTGGGCGCTCCATCATTGGAGGTTTCTAAGAAGAGACTGGACAGCCACTTGTCTGAAATAGTCTAGACCAGGGGTAGTCAACCTTGGCTCTTTTATGACTCGTGGACTTCAACTCCCAGAATTCCTGAGCCAGCCACGCTGAGGAGAAAGGGAGAGGTTTCCATGCTGAGCCATGCCGGCTCAGGAATTCTGGGAGTTGAAGTCCACGAGTCATAAAAGGGCCAAGGTTGCCTACCCCGGGTCTAGGGGCTCCTGCTTAAGCAGGGGGTTGGACTAGAAGACCTCCAAGGTCCCTTTCAGCTCTATTCTATTCTAAGAGATCTAACCTGGACATAAGGAGGGATTTCCTGATAGCAAGAACAATTAATCACGGTTAGCAATTCCCGGCAGGCTATACCAAAGGCTTGCAACGTTTATGTTCAGCAAACTGTTCGCGACTTTTATCGGCCACCACTGCCTGCAGGGAAAGAAACAAGACATATGCCAACATTTTTATAGTGTTTTTTTTTAATTCCATAGATTTCACCTTTGACATTTTGCAGGCCGTCTGGTCAGCGGTTTTTCCTCTCCTGTTAACCTCTAAACCAGGTTTAGCGTTGGTGACGTCTTTGAGCTGCCTGTACTGTTCGTAAATCTTGAGTTGGATGGAATATATGCAATAATATTTGATGGAGGGGAAGTGGAAAAAAAGCCCAAAGGGGGGGCAAGGTTGGCCCCAAAAAAGTCACAATGGCAAGTTATAAATATGCCATCCACGTTTTGCGCGGCTGAAAGTACAGCACGCTGAATCTCTGTGCCTGCCACCAAAACGTGGCACTGTCTGCGCCCTCAAAATTCGAGCCACGTTAAGCCGGGCGGAATACAAACTTGTTAGAATTAAATCAAAGGTTTGGGGGAAAAAAACAACACCAAAATAACAACAACAAGAAAAAAAAATATCTCCATTTTAACACACAGGCTAAAGATCTTCCTGCAATCAGTTCCGAGTAATTTCCCAGCCCAAAGTTCGACGGGTGCTTTTTCAGCGGAATGAGAAAAGAAAAGTGTGCAGAAAAAAAACACAAGACAGGTCGTCACCACAATTGGTGCGAGGTTCGGGTTCCGCTAGCTGGAACACACAATCGCCTCCTCACTCACTGCAAAACACTACAGGACCCAGAAGAGGCAGAGAAAAGAAAATAAAAAAAATAATAATCTGGCAGTACCGCAGAGATGGGATCTAAGATTCCTGTTTTCCAGGCTCAGAGGGAGACGTGGGTTAGCAAACCCCGGTGGGTTATGCCGAAGGCTTGGAGCGGTTATGTTTGGCAAACCACTCGTGGCTTTTATCGGCCGCCATTGCCTGCAAGGAAGTAAAACAAAATGCAGATAGTCCTCGGCTTGCAATAATTCATTTAGTGATTGTTGGAAGTTAAAAGGGGTCCTTGGTGCTCTTTGAGCTTGCGGTTTTCTCGCAGACGTTTCATGACCCAACTAGGTAACATCATCAGTGTTAGAAGGAGTAGGGTTTGCAGGGAGGAGGAGGAGGGGGGGGAGACTGTGGGACCCTTGGTGCTCTCTGAGCCTGGTTGTTTTCTTGCAGACGTTTCATGACCAACTAAGTAACATCATCAGTGTTAGAAGGAGTGGGGTGTGCAGGGAGGAGGAGGAGGAGGAGGAGGAGGAGGAGGAGGAGGAAGGGGGAGAGACTGGGATCCTTGGTGCTCTCTGAGCTTGCTAATTTTCTTGCAGACGTTTTATGACCCAACTAGGGAACATCATCAGTGTTACAAGGGAGTGGGATTTGCAGGGGGGAGGAGGAGGTGGAGGAAGAGGAGGTGGAGGAAGAGGAGGAAGAGGAAGAGGAGGAAGAAGTGGGAGAGACTGGGATCCTTGTGCTCTCTGAGCTTGCTAGTTTTCTCGCAGACGTTTCATGACCCAACTAGGGAACATCATCAGTGCTAGAAGGGAGTGGGGTGTGCAGGGAGGAGGAGGAGGAAGAGGAGGAGGAAGAGAAAGAAGAGGAAGAGGAAGATATTTATAGCTCAGGCTTGGAATGAGTAATCCTTGGTGCTCTCTGAGCTTGCTGGTTTTCTTGCAGACGTTTCATGACCCAACTAGGTAACATCATCAGTGCTAGAACGGAGGGGGTTGGCAGGGAGGAGGAGGAGGAGGAGGAGGAGGAGGAGGAGGATATTTGTAACTCAGGCTTGGAATGAGGGATTCTTGGTGCTCTCTGAGCTTGCTGGTTTTCTTGCAGACGTCTCAGGACCCAACTAGGGAACATCATCAGTGCTAGTAAGGAATGCTGTTTGCTGTCCGTTTTTCATTCTAGTGTCTTGCCTGTCTAAGTGTGTGTGTGTGTGTGTGTGTGTGTGGTCTTGGTGATTCTTTGGTTGGGCTGTTTATTAATAACTCTGGGGCAGTTTCTTGACTGGGGTGTTGCTTACTTGATTGTGGGTCTGAAGTTGACCTTGGAGCTAATCTACGCTGATCTGAGTGCTGACTACTGGTGGAGAAGTACACTGCCATAGATCAAGAACAGGGGTCTTCCAACTGGGCCCTTTTATGACTGGTGGACTTCAACTCCCAGAATTCCTCAGCGGTACAAATGGGGGTGGAGCCTTCTTGGAACGGCTGAAACAGTTTCAAGAAGGCTCCAAGAAGCTTCAACAGCTTCACCGCCACACAGACAGGTAAGACACCAGAATATAAAGCGACTGCAAACAGCATCCCTTACTAGCACTGATGATGTTACCTAGTTGGGTGATGAAACGTCTGCAAGAAAACAATCAAGGTCAGAGAGCACCAAGGACCCCACGGTCCTCCTCCTCCTCCCTTCTAGCACTGATGATGTTCCCTAGTTGCGTCATGAAATGTCTGCAGGAAAACCACCCAGCTCAGAGAGCACCAAGGACCTCTACAGTCCTTCTCCTCCGTCCTTCTAGCACTGATGATGTTCCCTAGTTGGGTCATGAGATGTCTGCAAGAAAACCACCAAGCTCAGAGAGCAGCAAGGCCCCTCATTTCAGCCCTGAGCTACGAATATTCTCCTTCATTGGAAGTTTACAAGGGCACTCAAAAAAGTGACTTAGGACCATTTCTCCTACTTAAGACCCTGTTGCACAGCATCCCCATGGTCACGTGAAGAAGGAACGTCCCGACAGTGAGGACAATCAATCAGTGGAACAACTTGCCCCCAGAAATCGTGGGCGTTCCATCACTGGAGATTTTTAAGAAGAGGCTAGACAGTCACTTGTCTGAGACGGTATAGGTTCTCCTGCATGAGCGGGGGGCTGGACTAGAAGACCTCCAGAGTCTCTCCCAATTTCTATTCTATTCCATTCCATTCCATTTTCTTCCTGATTCTATTCTATTCTATTCTATTCTATTCTATTCTATTCTATTCTATTCTATTCTATTCCATTCCATTCCATTCTCCAAAGCACCAGAGGGCAGGACAAGAAACAATGGTTGGAAACTCATCAGAGAGAAGCATCCTGGAATGAAGGAGAAAGTTCCTAACAGTGAGGACAATTAACTAGTGGAATAGCTTGCCCCCAGAAATCGTGGGTGCTCCATCACTGGAGGTTTTTTAGGAAGAAACTGGACAATCACTTGTCTGAGATGGTATACGTTCTCCTGCTTGAGCGGGAGGCTGGACTAGAAGACCTCCAGGGTCCCTTCCAACTTCTATTCTATTCTATTCTATTCTATTCTATTCTATTCTATTCTATTCTATTCTATTCTTCTAATCTATTCTATTCTATTATTCTATTCTATTCTATTCTATTCTTCTAATCTATTCTAATCTATTCTATTATTCTATTCTATTCTATTCTCCAAAGCACCAGAGGGCAGGACAAGAAACAATGGTTGGAAACTCATCAAACAGAGAAGCATCCTGGAATGAAGGAGAAAGTTCCTAACAGTGAGGACAATTAACCAGTGGAACAGCTTGCCTCCAGAAACTGTGGGCGCTCCATCCCTGGAGGTTTTTTAGGAAGAGACTGGACAATCACTTGTCTGAGATGGTGTAGGTTCTCCTGCTTGAGCGGGGGGCTGGACTAGAAGACCTCCGGGGTCCCTTCCAGCTCTATTCTATCCTAAAGTTTTGACGATAATCCCCGGCCTCTTCTGGGGATCCATGTTTATTAGAAACCTCGAAGGGAAGACACACACCCCCCAAACTCACCTCATCCAGGAGCTTCTCACCATTTGGGTCCACCCTGGAGAGCTGCCTAAAGGCTTCATCGCCCACGAAGCAGATTTCGTGGCCGTCCTACGAGAAATCGGAGAGAGAGACAACATCATTGGGTTGTTACCCAGCAAGAGGTGGAGAGGATAATAATAATAATAATAATAATAATAATAATAATAATAATAATAATAATAATAATAATAATAATAATAATAATAATAATAATAATATAAAGTTGGAAGGGACCTTGGAGGTCATCTAGTCCAACCCCTTGCTTAGGCAGGAAATTCTACACCATTTGAGACAAATGGCTGTCCAGTCTCTTCTTGAAAACTTCCAGTGTTGGAGCATTCACCACTTCTGGAGGCAGGTTGTTCCACTGGTTAATTGTTCTAACTGTCAGGAAGTTTCTCCTTAGTTCTACAGTAGGTTGCTTCTCTCCTTGATTAGTTTCCATCTGTTGCTTCTTGTCCTGCCTTCAGGTGCTTTGGACAATAGCTTGACTCCCTCTTCTTTGGGGCAGCCCCTGAGAGACTGGAAGACTGCTATCCTGTCCCCCCTCGTCCTTCTCTTCATTAAACTAGACATACCCAATTCCAGCAGCCGTTCCTTATATGCTTTAGCCTCCAGTCCCCTGATCATCTTGAGCAGTAAAAATTTATTTTGTGTCTTTGAGACGTCAGGCAGTGACTTGGCTCATAAGCCGGTTCCGATGGACCTACCTGCACCCCTAAAATTACATATGGGTAATTCTCCACTTACGACCGCAATGGAGCCCCACGTTTCTGTGGCTAAGTGAGACATTTAAGTAAGTTTTGCCCCCATCTTACGACCTTCCTTGCCCCGGTTGTTAAGTGAATCTGGCTTCCCCCGTTGACTTTGTCAGGAGGTCCCAAAAGAGGGTCACGTGACCCCCGGACACTGCGACCGTCATAAATAGGAGTCAGTTTGCCAAGCGTCCAAATTTTGACCACGTGGGATTGATGCCACGGTCGTCGGCGTGAAAGACGGTCCTAAGTGACCTTTTTCTTTCAGCGCCTTTGTAACTCTGAACGGTCGCTAAACGAATGGTTGCAAATGGAGGGCTACTTGTATTTATTCAATCTGTTTGTTGATCCAACTGACCGTCTCACAAAAAGCGACCAATCCAATATAAAGGCACAGGTTTTGAAGGTCGTAAAATGGGGCAAAATTTGCTTAACACCTACCTCGCTTAGCAACAAAGGTTTGGGGTGAAGTTGTGGTGGTTAAGCTGAGGACTTCCTGTACCGAGCAAGGGGGCTGGACTAGATGGTCTCCCGGAACCCCAACCAATGCATGATTCTAGCTAGCTTTAAGACTTGAAGCATCTTTGTGGGAAAGAAACTATAAATTGACAATGTCAGCTTCATACAAATATTTTATAGATGGCATTTGCCACCAACAAGATTAGCAAAAATGTTTAAAAATCTGGCAAAGAAATGTTGGAAATGTAAACACAAACCAGGGACTTATTATCATATGTGGTGGACATGTGTTAAAGCAAGGAGACATTGGACAATAATACACACTTGGTTAGAAAAAATGTTAGAGAAACACATAGACTATAAACCTGGTTTTTTTTAACTAGGTATAATGCCAGAAAAACTTGATAAGCAAAGTACAGATTTGATTCTACATGCGATAAACGTGGCAAGAATTATATTTGCACAATATTGGAAAAACGAAGAAATACCACCAGAAGAAGAAATAATCAAAAAAATATTAGACTGTGCGGAAATGGACAGACTTACTTTAAGGTTGAAAGAAAAAGAAGAAACAGAATATTTTCAAACTTGGGACCTATTTTACAATTGGTTAGAGAAAAGATTTAGGGATTAGGAATTTGTATTAGTGAATAAAATACTCAGACAACACATTTTCGTTGAATAATTATTACTGAACTCTGTTAAAAATAATAATAAAACTTTAAAAAAAAAAAGACTTGAAGCATCTTTAAATTCCATTTTTAAAATTTCGAATCTGGAGAAAGAGACATTTCTGATTTTGCACTAGACTCCTGAGTGTGCCAGCAAAACGGACACACAATCAGCACATATGCATGAAACCTCTCCTTGGTGGAATTCATAGCCACAAACTCTGTCACAGACCTTTAAATGTTTCTTTAAGAAGGAAGCAAATCAGTGGAGAATACAGGTGGTCCTCATTTTACAACAGTTCATTGAGCGACCGCTGGAAAAAAAGTCACTTATGACCGTTTTTTCGGACTTACGACTGTTATAGCATCCCCAGGGTCACGTGATCAAAATTCGGATGCTTGGCAACTGACTCCTATTTATGACGGTCGCAGCATCCCGGGGTCACGTGACCCGCTTTTGCGACCTTTTGACAAGCAAAGTCAATGGATTCACTTAACAACCGGGTTGCTAATCGTTCACTTAACAAAGGTGAATGGGGCAAAACTCAATGAACAAATGTTTCAGTTAGCAACGTACATTTTGGGCTCAACTGTGGTAATAACTCAAGGACTAGGGCACCTGTATCACCAGCCATTGTGGGTTTTAGCCATCATTTGTTCGTAAAGCCTTCACGTTCAGGAGCAGTCTACCTCCGAAAGGCACAGACGAAATAAACAAAAGCCCTGTTCACCATCCAGATACATATTTATTTTAACTAGCTGTACCTGGCCACGCGCTGCTGTGGCTCAGTCTGGCGTGTGTTGCTTTTACGTCCAACAGATGGCGCTGTTTTTCAAAAAAAGCATGTTTTTACCTGTCACAGGTGTGACATCTATATAATAGTAGGTATATAAAAACATTTGCAGAAATGGCCAAGATTTCCGCATATTTGAAAGATCAATCTCAAGAAAAATTTATTTTGGTATGGAGAAGATGGATAGATTACGGTATATTCAGAGAAAGTATGAAATGAATAATTATCATATTGCTTTTGATTAAATTTTTTATTATTTCCATTTATTTAGTATAATTTATATATTACTATGTTTTATATTCATGTTTATTATTGTATATTAGAGTTAAAGTATGTTAATATTTGATTGTATTGTGTTTGGGTAGTTTTATTTAGATTTGGGATGTTATGTGCTTATCCCTGTATTCAGTTCTGGGAAGTCCGGGGGGGGGAGGGGGGGAGGGGATGAAGGGGGTAGAGTTATATAAAATTTGGTGTATTAATATGTTATAGAGAAATAATGTAATTGTCAACGCTGCAAATACTGTAAATTCTTGCTTTGTAAATTCTTTTTTTGTGTGTGAAGAGAAGATGGTTGGCTGGTACCCCCAAACTGCATCCGAAGGTTGAGGAAAAGAAGGAGGTGGGATGTGTAGGGTAGTTGGAAGAGAAAGAGGAGAGAGCTGTGGGTAGGAGGGGAGGAAAGGAAGAGGGAAGTAGGTAGGAAGGGTGAAAGAGAGGGTGGATGCGGGGGGGGGGACACTGCCGACCACCTCCGAAAATATGATGTTTAATAGGGTTTTTTTATGTGCACCATATTTATATTAAGAACTTGTTTATTTGAAAATTAATAAAATTTGTAAAACCAAAACCAAAACACGCGCGTATTCGAATGCAACGTTGTGTCAAAATTTAATAATAATAATAATAATAATAATAATAATAATAATAATAATAATAATAATAATAATAATAATAGTAGTAGTAAAGTTGGAAGGGACCTTGGAGGTCATCTAGTCCAACCCCCTGCTCAAGCAGGAAACCCTATACCATTTCGGACAAATGGCTGTCCAGTCTCTTCTTAAAAACTTCCAGTGTTGGAGCATTCACCGCTTCTGGAGGCAAGGAGTTCCACTGGTTAATTGTTCTCACTGTCAGGAAGTTTCTCCTTAGTTCTAGGTTGCTTCTCTCCTTGATTAGTTTCCACCCGTTGCTTCTTGTCCTGCCTCCAGGTGCTTTGGAAAATTTCAAAGCAATCGGTGAAGAACTTTCGGAGATTTAAGATTTTGAACAAAGGAACATTTACATTTTTATTTTATATATAGAAAGAAGATTAAGGGCACTTACAGGATCAGCCAAAATCACAACTTGCACAGTTGCTTTCCCGGGGGTGTCCAGGCTCAACAAAGGAGTCAAAATCTTCTGGTTCTCCTTTTTCATTAAGGCTTCAATAACAGGCAACTTGCCCAACGGCGAGAAACAGGATCCAAGCAAGGAGACATTGGGGAGGGGGGGGAGAGAGGAGGCCAAATAAAAGATAGGCACAGTCAATTTTCTGCAAACAACAGCCCTCCTGAGAAAGTATTTTCAAAAGATAAAAAAAAAAGTGTATTTTCAAAACAGGCAAGAAAGTGTTTTCACAAACGTAAACGAAGTATTTTCCAAACGCAAAAAGAGAGAGCTTTTTTAAAATGTAAATATTTTCAAAATGTGAGAGTATTTTCCAAAACGCAAAGTATTTTCAAAATGTAAAAAGGAAGTGTTTTGAACATGTAAAAAGATTTTTCAAAACATAAAGAGGGTTTTTAAAACGTAAAAAGGTTTTCAAAATGTAGAAAGAATGTTCAGAACAGGAAAACCTTTTCAAAATGGAAAAAGAAAGTATTTTCAAAACAGAAAAAGAAGGTATATTTTCAAAAGGTGAAAAAAAGCACTTTCAAAATGTAAACAAAGTTCTTTTCAAAACGTAAAAAATATTCTGAACATGTAAAAAGGTTTTTCAAAACGTAAAGAGGGTTTTTAAAACGTAAAAAAGGTTTCAAAATGTAGAAAGAATGTTCAGAACAGAAAAACCTTTTCAAAATGTAAAAAGGAAGCATTTTCAAAACATAAAAAGAAAGTATATTTTCAAAACATGAAAATAAAGCACTTTCAAAATGTAAAGTTCTTTTCAAAATAAAAACAAAGTATTTTCAAAAGGTAAAAAGGAAGTATTTTGAACACGTAAAAAGATTTTTCAAAACGTAAAGAGGGTTTTTAAAACGTAAAGTTTTTCAAAACGTAGAATGTTCGAAACAGAAAAACCTTTTCAAAACTTAAAAAGAAAGTATTTTCAAAACGTAAAAAGAGCTTTTCGAATGTAATTTTTTTTCTCCAAAACATAAAATCATTTTTGAAACATTACTCAAAATCCTCAATCCCTTTCTTATTCCTTACAGTTTTGTACTATAAACATACGGATAAGTTCTTGACTTACAGCCATTGGTTTAGTGATTGTCTGGTGTTCAACAGCACCCAAAAAATAAGACTTATGACCGTTTTTCACACTTACGACTGTTGTGGCATCCCCGTGGTCATGTGATCAAAACTGGGGCGATTGGCAACTGGCATGTACTTACGACAGTTGCAGCATCCCGGGTTAGGTGACCACCTAGCTCATTTCCAACAATCCAAGTCAGGGGTAGGCAACCTTGGCTCTTTTATGACTCGTGGACTTCAACTCCCAGAATTCCTGAGCTGGCATGGCTCAGCATGGAAACCTCTCCCTTTCTCCTCAGCATGGCTGGCTCAGGAATTCTGGAAGTTGAAGTCCACCAGTCATAAAAGAGCCAAGGTTGCCTACCCCTGATTTAGGCTATTCGAATCTATCCTGTAAAGCAGGGGTCTTCCAACTTGGCCCTTTTATGACTTGTGGACTTCAACTCCCAGAATTCCTGAGCCACCATGACTCAGCATGGAAACCTCTCCATTTCTCCTCAGCATGGCTGGCTCAGGAATTCTGGGAGTTGAAGTCCACGAGTTATAAAAGAGCCAAGGTTGCCTACCCCTGATCCAAATCAATGGGGGAAGATGGATTCATTTAACGACTGCATGATTCGTTGAACAAATGTGGCGAAAAAGGACACAAAGTGGGGCAAAACTGATTTAATCACTGACTTGCTTAGCAATGGAAATATTTTGGGGTCAACTGCGGCCGTAAAATGGGACCTCCGTGTCTCTCGCACCCGGATCTCACCTCTTCCTTGGGGCAAGAGAAGGCGATTCGCCCGAAGGCCGTGCCGTGGTCCACGGCCTGGCCGATGCTTTGCAGCTCGAGTTTACACTAGAAGAAAGAAAGAAAGAAAGAAAAACATTTGGACTTGCAAAAAAGGCCACACAAAAAAGACACCAGTCAGTTTTCGCGCAGCTGTCAATCTGGTTCAGGATGCCACAAACTTCTGGATTGTAAATTTTTGTGGACTTTGACAGTCTTGTTCTAGTTTTTCTGTCTTGGGAGAGAGTGCCCCAAAGGTGTTTTTTTCAGGAGGCAACTGGACTTTCCTTGTTTTTTTCTTTGGACGTTTCGCTTCTCATCCAAGAAGCTTCCTCGGCTCTGACTGGATAGTGGGGAATGGAAGGATTTATATTCTTTAAGACTTCCACTCCCAGAATTCCCCAGACAGCATGCTTTAGGAATTGCTTTAGGCAGCTGGCTAGGGTATTCTGGGAGTTGAAGTCCACCCATCTTAAAGCAGGCTGGCTTGGGAATTCTGGGAGTGGAAATCCACCCCCTTTAAAGCTTATTGGCTGGGGAATTCTGAGAGTGGAACTACACCTGTCTTAAAGCATGCAGGCTGAGGAATTCTGGGAGTTGAAGTCCACCCATCTTAAAGCAGGCTGGCTAGGGTATTCTGGGAGTTGAAGACCACCCCCTTTAAAGCTTATTGGCTGGGGAATTCTGGGAGTGGAAGTCCACCCATCTTAAAGCAGGCTGGCTGGGGAATTCTGGGAGTGGAAGTCCACCCATTTTAAAAGCATGCAGACTGAGGAATCCTGGGAGTTGAAGTCCACCATCTTACAGTGTCCAAGGTTGGGAAACACTGCCCTAAGAACGTCAATCTCACCTGGTTATCGGCATAACCGAGCAAAACATTCTTCTTCCCTTCGTCCTTCTCGTATACTTTCATGCCCAGCAACCTGGACCAGTATTCTACCGATTTCGGCAGGTTGGATACAGCCAGAGTCACCTTCAGCACCGGATCTGGAGGGTAACACCAACACAGATGGCCTTGAGTCCAGACTTTGTGGCAGGAGAAGGTGAGCTGGTGGGCCACTCGGCCATTCAAAAGAGCTTGGCCTGGACCAGACTCACCCTGTGACATTCGGATTCTAGCATGGATCAATTGGAAGCCTTCACCAGCACATCCCAATTAGCAGTCAGTCCCGCTGTTTCCCATCCCCTTTTGAAGGATATATGAGTGCTTAGAATAAAATAAAGCTGGAAGGGACCTTGGAGGTCATCTAGTCCAACCCCCTGCTCAAGCAGAAAACCCTACACCATTTCAGACAAATGGCTGTCGAGTCTCTTCTTAAAAACTTCCAGTGTTGGAGCATTCACAGCTTCTAGAAGCAGGTTGTTCCACTGGTTAATTGTTAACTGTCAGTAAGTTTCTCCTTAGTTCTAGGTTGCTTCTCTCCTTGATTAGTTTCCATCCGTTGCTTTTTGTTCGGCCTTCTGGCGCTTTGGAGAATAGCTTGACTCTCTCTTCTTTGGGGCAGCCCCTGAGATATTGGAACACTGCTATCATATCTCCCCTATTTCTTTTCTTTAGACCAGCCCAGGGGTTAGCCCAGAATTCCTGAGCCAGCATGGCTCAGCTTGGAAACCTCTCCCTTTCCCCTCAGCATGGCTGGCTCAGGAATTCTGGGAGTTGAAGTCCACGAGTCATAAAAGAGCCAAGGTTGCCTACCCCTGGACTAGCCAAACCAAAGTCCTGCAGCCGTTCTTCATATGTTTTGGTCTCCAGGCCTTGGATCATCCTAGTTGCTCTTCTCTGCATTATTTCCAAACTCTCAACATCTTTTTCGTAACGTGGGGACCAAAACTGGATGCAGTACAGGTAGTCCTCAGCTTATGACGACAACTCAGCCCAAAATTTCCATTTCTAAGTGAGACATTTGTGAAGTGATTTTTTGCTCCATTTTATGACGTGTCTTGCCACAAGTTGTTAAGTGAACCACTGCAGTTAAGTCACAGGGTTCTTAAGTGAATCCGGCTTCCCCATTGACTTTGCTTGTCAGAAGGTCGCAAAAGGGGATCACGTGAACCCCCTGGGACACTGCGGCCGTCATAAATATGAATCCGTTGCCAAGGGCCCGAATTTTGATCACCTGACTCTGAGGATGCTGCAACGTTCGTAAGTGTGAAAAACGCTCGTCAGTCATTTTCTCCAGTGACGTAACTCTGAACGGTCACTAAGTGAACTGTTGTAAGTTGAGGACTACCTGTATTCCCGGTGTGGTCCTACTAAAGATTTATAAAGCGGTACACTTTATTCAAAGCTCTTGAGGACAAGCTCTTGAAGGCAGGACAAGCGACGGATGGAAACTAATCAAGGAGAGAAGCAATCTAGAACTGAGAAGAAACTTCCTGACAGTTGGAACAATTAACCAGTGGAACAACCTGCCTCCAGAAGCGGTGAATGCTCCAACACTGGAAGTTTTTAAGAAGAGACTGGACAGCCATTTGTCCGAAATGGTATAGGGTTTCCTCCCTGAGCAGGGGGTTGGACTAGATGACCTCCAAGGTCCCTTCCAACTTTACTACTACTACTACTACTACTAATACTACTACTATTATTATTATTATTATCTTCCCTGAGTTTAGGCTTCAGAACATCATTAGATGGGCAAATGGGGTGGCTGCAGCCTCATTGTTCTGTTCTGCTCGTTACCTTCTTGAGGTCGTTCTTTGTCTTCCAGAAAGAACTTATATCCTCCTGGGGCTTCCGATTCGTAAAGGCCTGCTGAGATCTCCTTCAGTGGCCACCGCAATTTTCTGGCGTTTTTCACAGCTTGGCTCGATGCAACAGTCACCCCCTGTATAACCACCGGAAAAATAATAAACAAATAAATAAACGAACAAACAAATAAAGATATTAGGGTGCAGAGAAGAGCAATAGAGATGATCAGGGGGCTGGAGGCTAAAACATATAAGGAACCGTTGCTGGAATTGGGGATGTCTAGTCCAGGGTTAGGCAACCTTGGCTCTTATGACTGATGGACTTCAACTCCCAGAATTCCTGAGCCAGCCATGCTGAGGGGAAAGGGAGAGGTTTCCAAGCTGAGCCATGCTGGCTCAGGAATTCTGGGAGTTGAAGTCCACAAGTCATAAAAGAGCCAAGGTTGCCTAACCCTGGTCTAGTCTAATGAAGAGAAGGACTCGGGGTGACATGATAGCAGCCTTCCAGTATCTCAGGGGCTGCCCCAAAGAAGAGGGAATCAAGCTATTCTCCAAAGCCCCTGAAGGCAGGACAAGAAACAACCCTCCCACCTTATTTTAGTGGCAAGCCTTCCTTTCCACGATCCATATTACAGGGTTATTAGCATTGCTGTAATTAAGAATAATATAATGAGCGTTCGGATGATGGGAACGGTGTTATAAGGGCCCTCTGGCCCCTTCAAGATCACGTGAAGTGTTGATACCACTTTACAAGGCCTTGTTAAGGCCACACTTGAAATACGGCATCCAATTTTGGTCACCACGATGTAAAAAAGATGTTGAGACTCTAGAAAGAGTGCAGAGAAGAGCAACAAAGATGATCAGGGGACTGGAGGCTAAAACATACAAGGAATGGTGGTAGCCAACCAGACATTGGATCACGTGACCATGGAGGGGGGGGGAAGGATGCTGCAACAGTCGTAAGTGTGAAAATCGGTCATAAGTCGCTTTTTTCAGTGCCGTTGTAACTTTGAACGCTCACTAAATGAACTGTTGTAAGCCAAGGACGACCCTTTCTCCTTTTTATGCAAATTCCAGATTGTATGCCTATCACAAAGCATTACCGGGAATGTGGCTTACCTGGAAATCACTGCCAAGGTGGTAATTCCCAACACCGTAGTTGTAAGTTAGCTCTGCGACGAAGTGGTCATCCTCCGGTCCATAGCCCACCATAGTTTTGCTCCATTTGCCATCGTAGGGACTAGAAACATATCCACCTTAGTTTGTTTACAGGAACAGCATCACCGCAAAACATCTTTACGGTTTCCCCTTCCCTTGGAACAAGCCTAGAGTCTACAGGTAGGCCTCAACTTATGACCGTGGTTGGGGACCAGAATTTCCACCGCCAAACAAGGCAGTTGAGTGAGTTGTGCCCCATTTTATGACCGTTTTTTTGCCATGGTTGTTAAGCGAATCGCTGGAGTTGATTCGTGAATCCTGCGGTCATTAAGCAGCAAGGATCCTACGTGTGGAAAAACAGTCATAAGGGACTTTTTTCGGTGCCGTTGTAATTTTCAATGGTCACTAAACCAGCTGTTGTAAGTCGAGGACTCCCCGAAGAAGCAAGCTAAGGCAGGAGGTAAAATTACCGTACCTGCCGGAGGGCTGCAAATACAGGTTTTCCTCGACTCACAACCACATTCTAACCCAATCTTTCTGTTGCTAAGTGAGACATTTGTTAAGCAAATTTTGCCCCATTTCACGACCAATTTTTTGCCACTGTTGTTAAAGAGAATCCCCGCAGCTGTTAAGTGAGTCACACGGTTGTTAAGTGAATCCGGCTTCCCCCCATTGACCCTGCTTGTCAGAAGGTCACAAAAGGGGAATCACGTGACCCCGGGATACTGCGACTGTCATAAATAGGAGTCAGTTGGCGAGCGTCTGAATTTTGATTACATGATGCTGCAATGGCCATTAAGTGTGAAAAACGGTCGTTGGATGTGAAAAACGGTTCATAAATCATTTTTTTTCAGCGCTGTTGTAACTGTGGCCACTGAATGAACTAATGTTAAGTCGAGGATGGCCTGTAGAAGGCGTCAAAAACTTTGCAGGAGACAGAACAGATAAATTCTCTGCACGTCCCTTGTTCTGAGACAGCACAGCCTGTCAACCCTCCAATCCAGTTTCTCTGATAAGAGTAGCCATGATTAAACCTACATACCCATTGCACGCGGCCTTGCAACCTTCTTCAAATTCTTCATGTCTCAGGACCTGTGGGTTCAAACCCACGTCAAACTGGTCAGTATTCAACTCACTTGCGCAGAGAGAGAGAGACAGCCACAGGCAATGTCCCTTAAAACTGATTTATTTGCAAAATATATTTCTATACTTTTGAGGGCGAGTGCAGACAGTCCTTGAGTTATGACTGTAATGGACACTATGTTTTTTTTGCAGCAGTTATTAAGTAAGCCTGGTGGTTGTAAACCCCCACATTTGTTAAGTGAATATTACCATCATTAAGGGGTTTGCCATGGGCATGGTTTTGTCAAAAACTGGAAGTAACTGCTAATTTATTGGCAAAACCATCATAAAAACACAGTCACGTAATTCAAGGACTATCAGCCCTCACAAAGGTCTTTATTTAAAAATTGCAACCAAGTGGGCAGAACTCAGGATTATGAAAAAAAATAAAATGTATACTCCAATCCCCAAAGGATGATGTAGTAGAATAGAATAGAGCTGGAAGGGACCTTGGAGGTCTTCTAGTCCAGCCCCCTACTCAAGCAGGAGATGTCCTATACCATTTCAGTATAGATAAGCCCAAATGGCTACGGTCTTAACTGCATAGAAAATAATTTAAACGTAAACCTTTAAAATTAAAATATTATAATTGGCAAAGCAAAAGACGCTCCCCAAGGAAACTTGGGTGCGAGAGGTAGCCGTAGCACACTGGCCACTCTAGGAAACGATATCTCGATGGTCTTCCGCCTCAGGGGGCTCACATCGATGACGTCTTCTCTTAGCCTCAAAGCCCTCCGTGTTTTCTCGGGTCTCTGGTCGCCTCCCCTATAGCTTACTTACGCGCATGCCCAGTAGCTCTCGGTAAAAACGGATGGTCTGAGCTCGGTCGCCGACTTTGAAGACAAAGTGTAACGCGCGTCTCGCCTTCATTTTCTTCTCTCGAAAGATCGGAAGCTAACACGGGTTCTGGGATTCTCGGCTATTTTATTTTGTCGCGGCGTGTCGCCGTGTGATGACGTCACAAGCACATGGTCGCAGCAGGCGGACTGGGTCTTTCGCAGCGGAAAATCCTTCCCACAGCCAATAGGAGCTGCTATTTCTAACCGGAAGTTCCTGTAGCCGCTCTATATCATTTCCTCTATGGCTGAAATGAACCATTTGTTTTACTGGACACGGCTATCAGCCGCCTTGACATCGAAATCTCGCGAGATTACCGCTAAGTCTCACATCTGTGACCATTTCCGCCCGTGAGCAAGATGGCAACCTTGTTCAAGCATGCATGGGCTACTCTGCTCTTGACGCCGTGTCGGATTAGCGTTGGGAGCCGCCGCGGCATTCGCGGCCTAAGAAGGAAACCCCTTCGCGTGCTGCCCTCGGTCGCGCAGGCGCAGGAGCAGCAACGGATCGTTCCCAGCAAAGTTAAGACCCCTTACATCCCAAAAGCGCCCAGAAAGGAACGCCAGCCGGAACCGGAACGTGAAGAGGCGGAGCTTCGTTACGAGCGGGCCGGACCCAATGAGAAGAGACTTAGGTAATGTCATTCGCGCAAAGCATCCTGGGTGCTGTAGTGCGAGCTTCTTGGGAAAGTAAGCAAAAAAGGGAAGGCCCGAACCACAATTCCCAGCGTCCTTCGGGAGAAAGACAGGAATCGCGGATTGTGACCTGGCGCAAAGCTTTCTGGGAATTGTAGTTTTGAGGAGAATCGAGGCGAAAAAAGCTATATTTTTCTTTCTTTGCTGAAAAATCCGCTGGGGACATTCGTTTCCCCCGTTCCTTTCCTTCTTCCCCCACACCCGCTATCGTAGCTGATGTGTTGGATTCCCAATTCCTGATTTCCATCAATGCCCATCGCTCCCCAGCCAGCAGCACCAGTGATGTTGGACTACAATGTTGGAGTTGTAGTCCATTTGATCTAAAGGAAACCGTCAGACAAAAGCCCTTGTTTCTCGTTACTCGGTTACATATTACCCTGTGAAATATTTTAGCTGTGATGTGCAGTTGGTGCACCATGATTTAAGCATGTGACTACCCTACTCCACCCCTAAACAAATCAGGCCTAAATCAGAAAAGGAGCTTAACAACTGTGTTGCTCTGCAATGATAATTTTGGAATCAACTGGGATAGTAAATCGAGAGAGGGAGAGAGAGAGAGAGAGAGAGAGAGAGAGAGAGAGAGAGAGATGGATGGATAAATATGATAGATGAGATAAATAATGAAATAGGTAGGTAGAAAGATGGATAGAGCAGTGGTTCTCAACCTTTTTAATGCCGCGACCCCAACCGGTCGTAAGTCGAAGACTAAACCGGTCGTAAGTCAAGGACTAAACCGGTCGTAAGTCGAGGACTACCCAACCGGTCATAAGTTGAGGACTTTCCCGGCCCGGGAGCGCCGCGCATGCGTGGTTCCGCCCCCTGCGCTGGCCGAGGCGTAGCTGGCAAGTGGCAGAGACGGAGCAGGCTGACCACCAGCTGGCCCAGCCCAAGGGAGGTAAGGCACCCGCCGGAAAAGGGGGAAAAAATGGCGGACAAAAAAAATGGCGGACAGCCTTGCTTGGCGACCCCCATGAAATGGTCGATCGACCCCAAATGGGGTCCCGACCCACAGGTTGAGAACCACTGGGATAGAGAGATAGACAGAATAGACAGATAGATAGAGATTGATGGATGAATGATAGAAATGACTAAAGAGAGAGAGAGAGATAATGAGATCGGTAGATAGACGGATGGAAGAGATGGATAGAGAGAGACTAGATCAGTGGTGGCGAACCTATGGCACGCGTGCCAGAGGCGGCACTCAGAGCCCTCTCTGTGGGCACACAGGCCATGCCCTGGAGATGGCAACCGTCCCTCTTCAACCAGCCACCTGCTAACTCGCCGAGGTCCCACATGACTGGATGCATCCCAGCACCCATGCGCTCACTGGCCTCTGTGTGCACAGGTCGATGGTGTCAGGCAGCCACTGCCCCTGCCACACCTTGCCCTTTGACAATGGCACCCCTGCCGTGCCTCGCCTTGCCTCATCCCACAGGAAGAGCCTCCTGCCCACTGCCCCACCTGCCAGAGACCCCCTGCATCTCCCCCAACCCTGCCCGGCCCCCACAGGCGTCCCTTCCCACAAGCAACATCGAGGTGATCACGCCCACTTTGGCCATTCCCACCCAATCTGCCATGACCACCACAGCCACGCCCACCCAGTGGGGCATGCCCACCTGGCACCCGGCGATAAATAAGTGGGTTTTGGGTTGCAATTTGGGCATTTGGTCTCTAAAAGGTTCGCCATCACTGGACTAGATAGATAATGAAATAGATAGGGAATAGATAGAGATTGATTGATGGATTAATAATAAATAGAAATAGCTAGAGAGCTAGATTAGATAGAGAGACAGACAGACACAGACAGATAAAGTCAGTCAATCTTTTGGGTGATGCCGTGTTCCTTTTCTTATGCTCTTTTATTTTTTTAAATGACTTTCTTCTCCAGGGAGACTTTCACTGATCCCCTCTTTTCCCAACAGGAATTTGGTGACCCTGGCGAAGTCCAGGGCATTTCGCGAGAAGCACGGGAAAATTCTGCTGGAAGGCCGGAGGCTCATTTTGGACGCTCTGGAGGCGGGAGCCGTTCCGCAGACAATCTTCTTTAGCCTAATGGAGAATCTGAAGATGCTGCCGGCGGCCAAACTCAAACAGGCCACCCTTGTCAAAGTGAAATACAACGAGATCAAGATGTGGTCGGATGTAATCACTCCACAGGGGTTGATCGGTAAGTTCCGGAAGAAACCGGAGGGCTACAGATTTAGTTGTTATTTATTTATGAAATGTTTATCCTGCCTTTATGACTTCATAAGTAACTTGAAGCAGGGAACACTAATACTAATCTAATAATCTTTCCTCCTCCTGTTTTCCCCAACACAACAATCCTGTGAGGTGGGTTGGGCTGAGACTGAGGGGCTGGCCCAAAGTCACCCAGCCAGCTTTCATGCCTAAGGCGGGACTAGAACTCACAGTCTCCCAGTGATTGGCCCAAAGTTACCTGGCTGGCTTTCCCACCTAAGGTGGGACTAGAATTCACAGTCTCCTGGTGATTGGCCCAAAGTCACCCAGCCAGCTTTCATGCCTAAGGTAGGACTAGAACTCACAGTCTCCCAGTGATTGACCCAAAGTTACTCAGCTGGCTTTCTCGCCTAAGGCAGGACTAGAATTCACCGTCTCCTGGTGATTGGCCCAAAGTCACACAGCCGGCTTTCATGCATAAGGCAGGACTAGAACTCACAGTCTCCCAGTGATTGGCCCAAAGTCATGCAACTGGCTTTGGTGCCTAAGGTGGAAACTAGAATTCAGTCTACCAGTGATTGGCCCATAGTCACCCAGCCAGCTTTCGTACCTAAAGTGGAACTAGAATTCACAGTCTCCTAGTGATTGACCCAAAGTCACCCAGCCGAATTTCGTGCCTAAAATGGGACTAGAACTCACAGTCACCCGGAGATTGGCCCAAAGTCACCCAGCCAGTTTTTGTACCTAAGGCAAGACTAGAACTCACCTTCTCCTGGTTTCTAGGCCAGCGCCTTTAATCACTCCCACCAAGCTGACTCAGAGAGGGCTTTGTTCCGGCTTTAGCAGCCAGGTTGAGTAGGATCTCACGGGAACCGCCTCTGAGGACAGCATTTGGTGTTTTCTTGGTGTTTTTTTCTTGTTGAGTAATCCTTCTGCTCTTTTTCCAAGCAGTGTGTATAAATCAATCTACAGCTGGCTGCTTTCCAGCCGTTCAAGCTTGGAGCAGCTCTGGGGAAAGTCTCATAAAAAAATTCTTGCAGATGCTTCGCACCTTCTCACGTCCCCCCTCCCCGTTGCGCCTTGGTGGCCAAGGTTGTGCACAGGTCCTCTGGCTCAGCACTGCTCAGCCCCTTCGGATTTCCCGAACCGCGAGATTTTTGCGATGAAGCTTTGGTGGAGGGCGGGACCCCGACCGGAGGCCGAAGAAGCAGTTTGTGGCTTTTCAAGAGAGGCTGTGTCCTGGTTTAGCCCTTGTTTTGGGGTTGCAAAGACGTTTCTGAACTGTTGAGGGTGAAAGAGAGAAGGAAGAAAGAAGAGAGAGAGAAAGAAAAGGAGAAAGAAAGAGACAAAAGAGAGACAAAAAGAAAAAGAGAGAGAAAGAAAAAGAGAAGAAAGAGAGAAAGAAAGAAAAAGAGGAGAAAAAAAGAGAAAGAAAAAAGGAGAAAGAAAAAGAAAGAAAAGGAGAAAGGAAAAAGGAAAAAAAAACAAAAAGAGAAAGAAAAAGAGAAGGAAGAAAGAAAAAGAGAAAGAAAGAGAAAGAGAAAAGAAAAGGAGAAAGAGAAAGAAAAAGAGAAAGAAAGAAAAAGAAAAAAGGGAAAGAGAAAGAAGGAAAAAGAAGGAAAAAAAGAGAAAGAGAAAGAGAAAAGGAGAGAAAGAAAAAAAGAAAAGGAGAAAGTAAAAAAAAAAGAGAGAGAGACTTTAAGCCTTTTTGCCCCGTCCTTTCGCCTTGCTGGCGTCCCCCTCAAGCTGAGGCCAGAGGTGGGCAGGGGGCAGCAGTCTTTCTCTTGAGCTCAGGGGTTCAACCCTTTAAACTGTTGAACCCCAACTTTACAACCTTTACCATGATAGAAGCCATCCAGTGTGACCTTATGTGCGAGTTGGGCAGCTAAATGTAGTAGTAGTAGTACTAGTAATAATAATAATAATCTATATAAATAAAAATGTAAATGTTCGTTTGTTCAAAATCTTAAATCTCCGAAAGTTCTTCACCGATTGCTTTGAAAGTTTGACACAACGTTGCATTCGAATACGCGCGTGTTTTTATATACCTACTATTATATAGATGTCACGCCTGTGACAGGTAAAAACATGCTTTTTTTTGAAAAACAGCGCCATCTGTTGGACGTAAAAGCAACACACGCAGACTGAGCCACAGCAACGCGTGGCCGGGTACAGCTAGTAATAATAATAATAATATTTATGATGGCTGCAGTG